GAATGTTCCATTCCTCTTTCAGCATTTTCAAGGTCATCCTCAGTCTGTGCTTAGTTTGACGCTGTGAAAGTTGATGCTGAAGTTGATCCCACATCGATGGGATTCAGGTCCGGCGAGACAGCAGGCCACTGCATACGCTCAATAGTTTCCCTCTGAAGATACCCCTGAACCACATAAGCACTATTGGGACGGGCGTTATCGTCCATCAGAATGAAATCTGGTCCGATTGCACATGTAAACAATCTGACGACTGAGTGCAGAATTTCATCCCTGCATTGTATAGCAGTCAATGCGCCGTTCCTGATGGCTAGCATGTCTGTGCGACCTTCCAGAGATTCCTCCCCAAATCATCACAAAGCCACCAACGCCTGCTCTTTGTCTGTATCTATGTCTGTTCTCTCCACACACGCCTACGACCATCGTACAAGTCCAGACAGAATCGAGACTCATTTGTGAACAGTACCGGCTCCCAACGTTGTCTATCCAAATTCACATGTTGTTTCAAGCGTGCTTGTTGATGACGTGGGAGAAGTTTGGGACGCAATACTGGCTGATGGCCCTGGGATTAATAACGTTAAATATGTTTATTAAAGTCTGGGGAGTAACGTGTAGTCCTGTGGCATAAATAAACTGACTAGCCAGTCTTGGAACAGGTTGAAAACGCTGTTTCTGGGCCAACGTTGCGATTTACAGCTCTTGATGTTGCGTTGAGAAACAGGGTCTGCCTTTTATAGGTCTCTCATTGACTGTACCAGTTCCCTGGTATCGTGCCAAGACACTAGAGATGACATTTTAGGACACATCAAACCGGATAGCAGCACCTCGCCGTGATTTTCCAGCCTGAAGCATTCCGTTTGCTTGGTAGCGCTATTTTGCCTGTAAATGACGTCTCTGTGGTGGAATACCTTTAATTAAGTCACATTCAATTGCTATTCACTTTATCAATCACGTAATGGTGTCTGCTGACTGATTGTCTGCCTTACACAACTACCCAAAGTGTACCATATTTTTATCATGTGGCTCATGAGCACGTGGAAATTGTGAAGGAAAATGCACTGAACAGGATTAAAGTCACAAACTGTTTTCTCAATTCATGTACATGTATATGTGGTATTTCACCAAATATTTCTCCCAGAAACTTTATCAAACCAAATACCAAAGATCTCTCACTTTTTTGTCCAGTATATAGTTCTTCTATTTGTTTCGTTGGAAAGGCAGGAAAAACTTAAGTTACATTTTCAACCTATAGTACACAGCTAAGTCAAAAAATGTGCTCTTAACTAATATGGAAATGTGAGCATCGCTTTGTTTTTGATTATTTGTTTTGTAAATTATCTTTGTAGACTAACATATGTAATGCAGATGGAATTGTAATTGACTTATCCATTTTCTTGATTATAACTTCACTTGATAATGCCCTTTTACACTGAAAAATTCATATAAAAAGTAGACAGTTAAAAAAATTGTGCATGTATATACACTAATAATTGCGCAGAAATAAGGAATACTTATTTTTATTATTTATTTGATCATTCTGTCAAAAACAACGCGGCTAGGATTAGGCTGTCCGTAAAATATCAAACTGTTTCAACTGTAGTAACTTTTCTGAGCTACCTAGATATGACGTCATAATAGCATATGTCGTCAAGTCACTGCATACTTAAGCTGAAATGGCGGGGAAAATGTCATAACTTTTACATTCCTTTCACATGACGTAAAGATTTTTTAGCGTTGTTGTTTGATTCAAATGTCTGGATTGTTATTTAAGCTTAAGCGTAATGTAATGATATTGAACATTTGCTATTTAATATCGTTATTCCTTTAACTTGTCCGATATGCATAAATTCAAACAATAACAAAAAATTGACTGTGAAACTCTCCCCCTTACGCTTCCGTGGCAGAGTTAGAATTTATAAATCGTGTATATATTTGACTGGTACAAGTGATTTATAAGGATAAATTGAAGATATTCTGTGTGAATATACTAGAAAATTATGTTCTCTAACTGAATTTTGCTGGGGGATTGTGTGTAATTTATCCTATTTTGTATGAATTGCGATAAAGAGTGGAAAATGCCCCCTTGTATGTGGGTATTTTGAATTTCTTGTGGAATATTTTCTCAAGAAGTAAAAATCAGTCTTGTCCCCAGCACTTTATATGTACCAAAGATCATGATGAATTGACTTATATGACAAATATTTCTCAATAATGTTGTTTTGCACTTGTGCCGATGCGATTTTTGTGCAACATTTGGGAATTTATAAGTGTCCGTCACGTGATCAACAAAGTCATGTGACATCACAAAAATGCATTATAATACCTGATTATCTTCTCATCACAAGTTGACTTCATACTCATACGTATATTACAATTGAAATTAAAATCTAGCTCAAAATAAAATGTAAATATTTTAATGCATATTAAGCCTTCGGACAGCCTTAACATAGCTGCGAATGATGTTGATTTTTTTATATGAAGCATCAGCGACACGAACTTAAAAAGAATGGTAAACGAAATAAAGCATGGGAATTCAGCCTCATAAAAATATAAACAAAGGTCGGAAAATAAAGGACCATAATAATTGTCCTGTTCGGATTCCAACAGATTATTGAAAGGTCCTGTCTCCTAAGATATAGATATATATATATATATATATATATATATATATATATATATATATATATATATATATATATATATATACATATATATATATATATATATATATATATATATATATATATATATATATATATATATATATATATATATATATATATATATATATATATAAGACATATATTGTGAATTAGTAACTCCGTTAAATAAATTAGCCATAACACCTCTTTGAATTTTTTTTAAAAAGATATAATTGTTAGAACTTGAAATGATAAAAGCTATCTGTTTTGTACCGAGGAAGTAATTGTCTGCATTAGTAATATTATAGACAACTGTGATAGAAATTATAACCTTAAATGGGAATAAATATGTGAATGGAAATAATATTTGAACCAGAGAGACACTCATTTTTCCCTGAGTCGAAGTATTTACCAGGATGTTGAGATGAACTCAATTTTTTCAGTTTTAGGGATCCAATGACAATAATACAAGCTTTGAGAACCGCTTCTCTGGCTTTGAAAACCAGATGCTAGGATATTAGGGTTTGGGGCGTAGTCGGGCCATTTTTAGCCAGTCGGTTGGAGAGAGCAACCCAACTATTTTTTAAAGATGGCTTCAGGACAATTTATTTCTTACTATACCGAATCCATTTTCTTGGGACTGCTGGGAGTTTCATTGAAGGTATAGCCGCTCAATTAGTTAAGAAGTGGTTTGTATATCCAATTTTTGGTCGTATGTAGAGTGAACAGTTGATACTTATTCTCTGGTATAAATAAAAAAAAAAAAACCAAAAGTCTTCAAAACATTAGGTAGATACAATATAACTTATTTAAAATATTTTAATTACGAGTACATCTGGTTTTGAAGTCCTACCTTTGCCCTCATGTATTTTATAATTGTATAATACGCAAATCTTCCTTATATCCAATTAATCTTTTCACTTTGATTTAAAAGTTTGCAATTTTCAAGAATCTTTTTGACGTGACAAAAACTAAGTAGAATATCAAATTCAATAGCATAAAAATTGCAGTCTTAAGGGACTTGATCTACACGTTACCCCCCCCCCCCCTTTTTTTCACTTGTTCAAAAAAGTCGAATACCAAACCGACCTTTTCGACATATATTAACAATTATTCAACAAAATGTAAACAATTTTGAAAATGCGTGCCCCTATTATTGCTTCAATCTATTATCACTACTCCAATTATCTCTCTCTTTCTTTCTCTTAACTTTCTAGCTATTTAGTTCCACAAAATGAAAGAAGCTTAATATGAATATGGGAAAAATGATGTTTTGTGTTCAAACAATGAATATATTTCTTCGAACAAATTAGTTTTTAGTTCGAAAAAATAACTAGCTTCTTCGGAAAATTAATATTCTCTCTAACAAATATCAAATTTATCGGAGCAAATATCAGTCTTGTCTCAACGATATCCAATTTGTGTGTCAATGAATTTATAATTTGTCCGAAAAAAAAAATCTCGCTTGTCCGAACAAATATCTAATTCGTCCGAAGAAATAAATATTTTTCTATTTGTTGTTTCGGCCCCTGGAAAATATCATCAAAGTGTATCAACCGAATAAGTCTCTTTTTTTCAAAGGGCAACATTACACTTATAGATCTCATGCTCACCCCCCCTCCCAAAAAAAAAAAAAAATTGCGGGATAGGCGTTTTGATGCAGATGCAACCAACCTATGGAGTGATTCGCCAGCGAACCCTCGGCTGTATAACTGTTCATGGTTAAAAAAAAATCATTTACTTTTCTACTTAGAGAACAAACAGAGATTTTATAAATTAAACTTAACCAATTGTAATTTTTAAATCTTTTTATACGCTGTTATATTTTGCAGCAAATTGTCAATTATTCCATAATTGCACATTCGTTATGCTCTCTGGAGTAATTAAAAAAAAATTGTAATGCAGTATATCAAACCTGTCAAATAAATAAATAAACCTATTGCGTTTCCTACCCCCTCGCAAATCCTCAGGTGCCAAAAAATGGAAAATAAACAATGAATGTGATTAAATATGAAAGAATACAACAAACAAGGCGTTTGAATAAATATGAAAGAATACAACAAATGAAATTAAATGCTGCATGTTTATTTGAATGCTTTTAACAATAACTCAGTTTTTTTTTTTTTTTTTTTAGATATTAGGCTGTCCTGTCATCGGTTTGTTTAAAAATGAATAAAATGAAAAATTCTGATGATTGTCATATAAATAAATATTCTTTTTGGTCACATAATGGTGATATGCTACAAAAGCTCAAATATTTACCGTTTTTCATGCTGGGAAGGTCTCAATATACGTTCTTTCGATGTCGTCGATACCCACCATATTGAGAACCCAGTAAACTGTATCCCCCATATGGAGAGCCTACACTGTATCCCCATATCCACCATATGGAGAGCCAAAACCGTATCCTCCATATCCGCCATGACGAGAAGCTACACCGTATCCTCCATATCCGCCATATGGAGAAGATATACCGTATCCTCCATATCCGCCATATGGAGAGCCTACACCGTATTCTCCATATCCACCATATGGAGAGCCTACACCGTACCCTCCATATACGCCACCAAATCCGCCAAGTCCGCCATATCCGTCATATCCACCATATCCGCCATATCCACCATAACCGCCATATAGAGAGTCGGGGCGGTATCCACCGTATCCACCATATGAAGAGCCAACACTGGATCCGTAATACGAATAATGTCTGGAACAACATTTAGAAAGACAAATTAGAAATAAGGAAAGGATAAAAAGTTTGTAGTTTCATGTATACATAGAAACAAAAAAAAAACAAAAAACAGAAACAAAAAACAGCGCAATAAAGGAAAGCACAGAAAAACGAAAAAAAGTAATTTAATAAGTATGAAAATAAACAATAATTTTTGACAAGAGCTAAAGCTTGATCAAATGCAATTGTGGCATAGTGGCATAACTTTAAGATAAAAAGTCAATAAAAATTAAGAAAAACAATGTTAAGAATAGAGCATTTTCAAATTGCTGTCATGAGACAGTAATACCCGCACTAAGGTGTTTGCCTCTAAACGCACACTCCTTCATATTGGGCTTACCAAGGAGAAAGTCCAAACAATTAGTCTATAATTTACACAGTACATGTATTCGTCAAATCGAGCATAAAATGCTCAGGTGACCATGTGACCCATGAACCTCTTATACGCATTTCATATACTTAATTCATTACCAGTCTGAAGTAACAGAATTTAATTAATGATGTAAATTAGGTTTTGATAAAAGGGGGGGGGGGGGAGATATAAATTTTTGGCCCATAATTGGAACTTTTCAAATTTATTTTCTCACCAACAAATAATATTATTTTAGTACAAAGCGTTTTTGATGAATTTATCAAAATATACAAACTTTTTTTAGTATTTGATTAGGCAAAAACCTCCTTGAAAAGCCATACCCAATCAATTTTCTCACCCCCCCCCCCCCCCAACACACACACACAATTTGCCTGTTTTTGGAAATAGGCCTAGATGGCAAAGTTATGTTAAAACATCGTTTGTTATGATAATTTAAAATTTGTTCTTGTACTGTACATGTATGTGAACACCTTTTTGAAAATTTCTACATCACATTGGGCTTGCGTCACCTTACCAGTACTAGTACTAGTTTTACCATTATCATTTTTAGATTGCACATGCCATGTGACATGGTGTGGTGCAGTGTTACATGTATATGAGTGGAAATTAATTCATTTTGTGTTTTAACTGGATTATATTTCATGAAGTTGACAGGACCTATGACAGTCGGTAAGTACAAGTTTAAGTATAGATTGGGGTAAAATAAACCGAAATGCAAATGGTTAGGTTAAAGTTTAAAAAGGATCAAAGATCATCGGCAATCTCCTATGCAGAGTTGTCGTTCGTTTCTCTCTCAGACACTGAATGTATGAACCGATGGTAGAGAGTGGATCATCGGATGCCACAAAAGACGAATTTCACATTCTGAAGAGTTATCTCTCGTTGTCGACATTACATTCAGTTACAGGCACAGATCCGGGAATTTTTTTCCTTGGGGTGGGGGGGGGGGTGTCCACACCCCAGTCAAAAAAAATTCCAGCCCAGAATTTCCTGAGGAGCAAAAAAAAAAAAAAACAAACAAACAAACAAACAAACAAAATAAAAACAATGATGGTGGGGTCCATGTTTTTAAAGGGGGAGGGCATTTAAAGTCATTTTTTATTTGCTTCTGTAAATCAGTATATAGTCCTATTTAAATAACTCTGCAAATTCCGGGGGGGGGGGGGGGGTTCCAGTCTCCCTAGCCGCTCCCTGTCCCTGAAATGACAAATGATCATGTGACTCCTAAATAGTAGAAAAATTTTCCATTTGACTTATACATAATTTTGTTTCTTGTGTTATTATGTTATGTACATCTAATGGTTTAAGGTTATGAACCCCTGGAGGTCATCCCCACTCTCTTAATGAACTGGAAATGTTTATAATATGACTACATCAAATTAAATAAAAGTGCATCAATGATAAGATTACTTGACATTTCATTCATGAATTTGGGTCAACCCATGTACCCTCCTAGAATTAGGAATGAAAATCATTCAAAGAGATGGACCATTAAACTATTTGTATATATTCACATTTTTTTTTATTGTCAAACCAAAGTATTAGACTAGTTTGCATACATGAACAAACAGGGGTCTGGGAAGGGGAAGGGGCAAGGGGAAGGAGTTATCTCTTTACATCTTAATTGTTGAAAACTCCTAAAATGAATGTTAACTTCAAATCCGACTTGTACGTCTTCATTATTTTTAAGTGGTGGTGTCTCCGTATGAGTGAAAAATTCCCAAGAGGGACATTTAACAACAAACAAACATTAATGACTTAAAAAACACAATATACATGTACATGTTTATTAGTCAACAGATATACTTCTGATCATATCTCTAGTTCTCCCTTGAATCAGAAATGATGATATAAATATTTTAAGAATGATTAAGAGTTGAAAAGGTTGTGCATTTTAAAATTGACTAAGCTCTGTGGTTGAATTAGCTATACCAGTTTAGCTTATTTTGCTACTCAAAGCACCTTGATTAACTATTTTTAATCATACTGTTTTCTGAAATGTGAAGTTTTTTCAACATGGATACAAGTCATACCTTTTCAGATTCTGAAAACAATGCATGAAAAAAAAAACTGCTTTTCAAATACTGTAACTCTTTCCAAGTACTTGTGATCATCAGTTTTTAGCTCACTTGAGTTTTTCTGGTTTTCTGATCACATTTTGTTTGTCATCCATCTGTCCGCCTGTAAACTTTTCACATTTTTGTCTTCTTCACTAGAACCGCTGGGCCAATTTCGACCAACCCTGCCACAAAGCATCTTTGGGTAAAGGGGATTCAAGTTTGTTCAAGTGAAGGGTCACACCTTCTTTCAAGGGGGGATAATCAAGAATTAATGAAAATTTGGTGGAATCATTTTAAAAAAGTCTTATCAAGAACCACTGACTGGGCCCAAAAAATTGAAACTTTCTTTACATAGACTTAGTGTAGCTTCAAATTTGTTAAAATTATGACCCACTGGGGTAGGGTGGGGCCACATATGAGGATCCAATGATTTACATAGAAAAATGCAGGGGATTTTTTCCATCATAAATCTTCTTCTCATGAACAGCAAGGGCATTATTGTCGTCCGTTTTCGCAAAAGGGACCTATGGGACATTAAATCTCATTTGTCTGTCAGTCTGTCCGTTTGTCTGTCTGTCCGTCTGTCACAATAAATTTAACCTTGGTCATAACTTCTGAATAATAAGAGATAGGGCTTTCATATTTCACATGTACATTACTTACAAGAACTTTCTAAACATACCATGATTTTTGAACCCATGACCTTGACCTTGAAGTTTGACCTACTTTTCAAAAAATTTAACATTATTTTAAATGATCATTTTGAAACAGAAAAGATAGGGCGTTCATATTATGCATGTATATTACCTGTGACAAGACCTTTCTAAATATATCATGACTTTTGACTGTGACATTGACCTTGAAGTTTAACCTACTTTTCAAAAATGTTATATTTCCTTATAACTTTTGACTGAGAAGAGATAGGACTTTTATATTTGACATGTACATTACCTGTAACAAGATGTTTCCAAGCATGCTATGATTTTTTTACCCCTTGACCTTGATGTTTTACCTAATTTTCAGAAATTTTAACTTTGGTGATTACTTTTGAATGACATATGATAGGGCGTGCATATTTGAAACAATATGTCATAAATAATGGCATCCCATCCACTAGGACACGGAAAGCAGGGGACCACAATTCTTTGAATTTGCTTGTTAGTCATTTTGATATGGAAACATCCTCATATAGTGTAGATTCAAGTTTTTTATGCCCTGCCATGAATATGGCCGAGGCATATAGTGTTTGTCATGTCCGACTTCAATAAAACATCATATGCTGATACATACTGATGTAAGCTTTTCAACTGCATCAAAATTTTTGACCTTGAATTTTCCTTTGACCTTGACCTTATTTTTCTTAAGTTAGTGTCTAGATCAGTTTTGAATAAACAATTCAAGATATATTTATCAAACTTCATATGCTGATATATACTGCTGAGAGATATCAATTGCATCAACTTTTTTGACCTTGACTTTTCCTTTGACCTTGACCTCACTTTTTCAAATTAGTGTTTATCTACATTTTAAATAAACCATTTCTGATATTTTTGTTGAACTTCTATGCTAATAGTAAATACATACTGATATAAGTTTTTCAACTGCATCAACATTTTGACCTCAACCTTTCCGTTGACCTTGACCTCTCTTTTCTCAAATAAGTGTTAAGCTCAGTTTTAAATAAATCATTCAAGATATTTTTATCAAACCTAATATGCTGATATGTATTAGTGAGAGCTCTTCCACTGCATCAAAAACTTTTCACCTTGCACTTTCCTGTGACCTTGACCTCCCTTCTCTTTAATTTGTATTTTGCTTAGTTTTAAAGAAACAATCTAGTAAGATATTTTTATGTAAGCATGCACTTATAGATAATTTTGTGAGAATTCATCATCTATGTCCATTTTTTTTAGATTTTAGTTTCAATTTTAAAGAAACTGTTCAAGATATTCTCATCAAACTTCATATACTCATACAAATTTTCATGTTGCATTAGTAATATACATTCGGCGGGGCATTTATGTCCTATGGACATATTTCTAGTTTTCAAATCATGACCTCCAAGGATAGGGTCAGGCCACAATAAGGGATCAAAGTTTTATAGAGATTTAAAAGGAAAAAATATCTTCAAAATTCTTCTTTTTTAGAACAACAAAAGCATGATTAATATGGAAACATTCCCAAGAAGTGTAGATTCAAGTTTGTACAAATCATGTCCCCATGGGTTAGGGAGGGGCCATTTTTTTCCTGCCCCTATTTGCTATCCACATGGAAATGCAAATTTTAAAACCATTTTACACATCCACAGGACAAAATCAATCATCTTCCAAATGATCATGATTTAAGGCTAGTGCATAAAATATAAGGGAAGTTCTGGGAACCAGGATGTATAAACATGTTAAATATTTTTTAAAAAGAAATTGACCCCCATTTGACCCCCAGGGGGAAAATAAGAATTCCGAAACCTTACTGCACATCTATAGGACACCACCAACCATCTCCCAAAAGATGATTAGGCTACTGTGTAAAATGTAAGAGGAGTTCTGGGAACCAGGGGCTTTTTGCATAAAAAAAGTTATTTTTCAACCCCTATTTGACCCCATCGTGAAAATGAAAATTCCGAAACCTTACTGCACATCTACATGACACCACCAACCATCTCCCAAAAGACGATTAGGCTACTGTGTAAAATGTAAGAGGAGTTCTGCGAACCAGGGGCTTTTTGCTTAAAAAACATCATTTTTCGACCCCGAATTGACTCCCAGGGTGAAAATGAAAATTCCGAAACCTTACTGCACATCTGCAGGACACCACTAACCATCCCCCAAAAGATGATTAGGCTACTGTGTAAAATGTAAGAGGAGTTCAGGGAACCAGGGGCTTTTTGCATAAAAAACGTCAATTTTCGACCCCCATTTGACCCCAAGGATGAAAATGAAAATTCTGAAACCTTACTGCACATCTACGGGACACCACCAACCATCTCCCAAAAGACGATTAGGCTACTGTGTAAAATGTAAGAGGAGTTCAGGGAACCAGGGGCTTTTTGCATAAAAAACGTCATTTTTCGACCCCCATTTGACCCCCAGGGTGAACATGAAAATTCCGAAACTTTACTGCACATCTACAGGACACCACCAAACACCTCCCAAAAGATGATTAGGCTACTGTGTAAAATGTAAGAGGAGTTTGAGAAATAAGAGTGTGACGGACGGACGGACAGACATGAGTAACAACAATATACCCGAACTTTTTTTAGAAAGTGCGGGTATAATCATGACTTCAGCACCAAGAAAGACAGTTTAAACTCATTTACGAGATCTCGTCTTTCGAGGCGAATGTGTTACAGAAACAGTTTTCACATGCTAACATATCACTACTGGATAAACAATTATTATTATACCCGCACTTTCTAAAGAAAGTTCGAGTATATTGTTGTTACTCATGTCTGTCCGTCCGTCCGTCCGTCTGTCCGCCCGTCTGTCACACTCTTCTTTCTCAAACTCCTCTTACATTTTACACAGTAGCCTAATCATCTTTTGAGATATGTTTGGTGGTGTCATGTAGATGTGCAGTAAGGTTTCAGAATTTTCATTGTCACCCTGGGGGTCAAATGAGGGTCGAAAATTGACGTTTTTTATGCAAAAAGCCCCTGGTTCCCTGAACTCCTCTTACATTTTACACAGTAGCCTAATCATCTTTTGGGACATGTTTGATGGTGTCCTGTAGATGTTCAGTAAGGTTTCGAAATTTTCATTTTCACCCTGGGGGTCAAATGGGGGTCGAAAAATGACGTTTTTTATGCAAAAAGCCCATGGTTCCCTGCACTCCTCTAACATTTTACACAGTAGCCTAATCATCTTTTGGGGGATGGTTAGTGGTGTCCTGTAGATGTGCAGTAAGATTTCGGAATTTTCATTTTCACCCTGGGGGTCAAATGGGGGCCGAAAAACGACGCTTTTTATGCAAAAAGCCCCTGGTTCCCTGAACTCCTTTTACATTTTACACAGTAGCCTAATCATCTTTTGGGAGATGAATAGTAGTGTCCTGTAGATATGCAGTAAGGTTTCAGAATTTTCATTTTCACCCTGGGGTCAAATGGGGGTCGAAAATTGACGTTTTTTATGCAAAAAGCCCCTGGTTCCCTGCACTCCTCTTACATTTTACACAGTAGCCTAATCATCTTTTAGGAGATGGTTGGTGGTGTCATGTAGATGTGCAGTAAGGTTTCGGAATTTTCATTTTCACCCTGGGGGTCAAATGGGGGTCGAAAAATGACGTTTTTTATGCAAAAAAACCCCTGGTTCCCTGAACTCCTCTAACATTTTACACAGTAGCCTAATCATCTTCTGGGAGATGGTTAGTGGTGTCCTGTAGATGTGCAGTAAGATTTCGGAATTTTCATTTTCACCCTGGGGGTCAAATGGGGGCCGAAAAACGACGCTTTTTATGCAAAAAGCCCCTGGTTCCCTGAACTCCTTTTACATTTTACACAGTAGCCTAATCATCTTTTGGGAGATGAATAGTAGTGTCCTGCAGATATGCAGTAAGGTTTCAGAATTTTCATTTTCACCCTGGGGGTCAAATGGGGGTCGAAAATGACGTTTTTTATGCAAAAAGCCCCTGGTTCCCTGCACTCCTCTAACATTTTACACAGTAGCCTAATCATCTTTTAGGAGATGGTTAGTGGTGTCATGTAGATGTGCAGTAAGGTTTCGGAATTTTCATTTTCACCCTGGGGGTCAAATGGGGGTCGAAAAATGACGTTTTTTATGCAAAAAAACCCTGGTTCCCTGAACTCCTCTAACATTTTACACAGTAGCCTAATCATCTTCTGGGAGATGGTTAGTGGTGTCCTGTAGATGTGCAGTAAGATTTCGGAATTTTTATTTTCACCCTGGGGGTCAAATGGGGGTCGAAAAACGACGCTTTTTATGCAAAAAGCCCCTGGTTCCCTGAACTCCATTTACATTTTACACAGTAGCCTAATCATCTTTTGGGAGATGAATAGTAGTGTCCTGTAGATATGCAGTAAGGTTTCAGAATTTTCATTTTCACCCTGGGGGTCAAATGGGGGTCGAAAATTGACGTTTTTTATGCAAAAAGCCCCTGGTTCCCTGCACTCCTTTTACATTTTACACAGTAGCCTAATCATCGTTTGGAAGGTGATTGGTGGTGTCCTGTAGTTGTGCAATAAGGTTTCGGAATTTTCATTTTCACCCTGGGGGTCAAATGGGGGTCGAAAAATGACGGCTTTTTATACAATTAGAAAGATGTCCATAGGACATGAATGCCCCGCCGAGGGTTTATTAGAAATGCAACATGGAAAATTGTATTAGTGTATGAAATTTGATGAGAATATCTTGCATAGTTTCTTTAAAATTGAAACTGAAATCTAAAAAGTTGGATATAGATGATAAACTCTAACCAAATTATGTATAAGTGCTTAAGCTTACATAAATATATCTTAAATGGTTTCTTTAAAATTAAGCAAAATGCAAATTTAAGAAAAGTGAGGTCAAGGTCACAGGAAAGTTAAAAGTCGAACATTTTTGATGCAGTTGAATAGTTCTCACAAATACGTATAAGCATATTAAGTTTGATAAAAATATTTTGAATGGTTTATTTTAAACTGCGCTAAACACTAATTTAAAATAAATGAAGTAAAGGTCAAAAAAAGTTCAAGGGCAAAAAATATTGATGCAATTGAGTAGCTTACATCAGTATGTATCAGCATTTGAATTTTGACACAAATTTAAGAAAGGTGGGGTCAAGGTCAGAGAAAAGGTCAAGGTCAAAAAATATTGATGCAGTTGAATAGCTCTCATTAGTATATATCAGCATATAAAGTTTGATTAGAATATCTTGAATGATTTCATTAAAACTGAGCTAAACACTAATTTAAGAAGAGTGAAGTCAAGGTCAAAGGAAAGGTCAAGGTCAAAAAATGTTGATTCAGTTGAATAGCTAACATCAGTATGCATCAATATATGAAGTTTGATTACATTTCTTGAATGGTATCTTTAAAACTGAGCTAAACACTAATTTAAGGAAAGTGAGGACAAGGTCAAAGGAAAGGTCAATGTAAAAAAAAATATTGATGCAGTTGAATAGCTCTCATCAGTATGTATCAACATATGAAGTTTGATAAAAATATCTTGAATGATTTCATTAAAACTGAGCTAAACACTAATTTAAGAAAAGTGAGTTCAAGGTCAAAGGAAAGGTCAAGGTCAAAAAATGTTGATGCAATTTCATAGCTCTCATCAATATCTATCAGCATATGAAGTTTGATAAAAATATCTTTGACAGTTTCTTTGAAACTGAGCTTTGAACAGAGCTAAATGCAAAGCATGATGGAAAGACAGACAAAAGGATGAAAGGACGGAAGACAGACATGACAAACACTACATGCACTGGCCATATTCATGGTGGGGCATAAAAACAAGATAAAAAATTTTGTTTGCATGCACCCTTTCTCAATACCACCTCTCCATGTTCCAAGATTGAAGTTTTAATGTCAAAAGGTTCTTAAGTTATGGTTTGGAGGTGTTTTTCTCAATTTGAACTTGAATGAAGAAAGGAGTCAAGGTCAACTTTTTAGTGCAGTGCATCTTTTGTAAATGTCTTTTTTCTATCTTACAAATTTGAAATTCTAATGTCAAAGGGTTCTCAAGTTATAGCCTGGACTATATTTTTATGTAAAGATTGATCTTGACCTTATCAAAAGGTCAAGGTAAAAAGAGTTTGGTGGCATCAACCCCAATTCCATACCACCTCTCCATGTTTCAAGTTTGAAATCTTAATGTCAAAGGGTTGTCAAGTTAAGACTTGGACAAAATTTGATTGAAGAAGAAAAGTGACAAAAACAATATGTAGACTAGTAAAGTCTACTTATTGCATCAAACCTTTAGGAGGAGTAGTTTTGAAAGAACAAATTTGTTTCTACATTATGTAATGAAACTTTCACATAAGATTCAACTTTTCTTGCCTAGTGGTTCTTGAGAAGGATTTTTTTTCTTATACAGTAAAGCATACTTATAGCGAAACAAGCCTATAATGAATTGAAACTTATAGCAAAGCGATTTTCATTCCCTGTGACTTTAAAATATATTGTATACTTAATGGATATAAGCAATTACACTTATAACAAAGCAAAATCGTCCGTCCCAGGCACTTTGTTATAAGCGTGTTTTACTGTACATTCCCATGTTTACAAAACTTTGATCCCCTGTTGTGGCCGCACCCTACCCCTGAAGGTCATGATTTGGACAAAGTTGAATCTACACTAAGTAACGAAGTTTCACATAATTTTAAACTTTTCTGGCCCAGTGGTTCTTCAGAAGAAGATTTTTGAAGTAACATTTAATTTTCACTCATTCTTATCTCCCCTTAAAAGATGGTTTGGCCCTTCATTTGAACAATTGTTTTACACAAGAGAGAATATTTTGCATGAGAAATAAAACTCTTTGTGTTTCTAAATATTTCATCATACCTCTAGTGTGTTTCTTCTTATTTTAACTAAGATAATGATGATTTAATTATGACTTCAATTTTATCCAGGCCTTTGTATGATAATTATACCCTGAGGGGTATGTTTACCTGTCTTCAACAAGTCAGGTGATTGTTCACAGTGAGTACTTTTCAAGCATAATTGATCAAGTTCATTTCTGCCTACTGAAAATACTGAACTTGAGCAAATAGGAGTTCCAAGTGAAATTTGTAACAAACCACGTTAAAAGACTTCTGGCTGTGTCCTTTTGTAATTATAGATATAGATCAAAGACAAGATAGTGAGTAAACTTATTTTTTTCTGGGAGGGATAACATTCTTGCTGCAGTATGAATTTATAGTGTAAAATCCTAAAAAGTCATCAATTAAAAAAAATTGTCTTATAATTCCACTTTAATTTTGATTCAAGTAGATGTTAGAGAGAGAGAGAGAGAGAGAGAGAGAGAGAGAGAGATTACTCCAGGTATATAGCCCCATGCAAAATATATATATCTGTGATAGCAAATTCTCAGGAGACAATTTTCCTCCATGCATTGTTTTCAAAAAACTCAAAGCTGAAAATTTAAAATTTATACCCATGTCAACATAGTACAACTTTTATCTATATTGATAAAAAGTTATATTTTTTTTCATAAGTTTGTGTTATCTATTCTAAATATGACAGGAAAACGGGTGAATCGTGGGTGGGGTTGATTTTTGACAAAGTCAAGATTTGGAAAGGGGTTCTCCGAGTCCTACCCAAATACTGATAAAAATTTGCACAAGTTGGCATCTATTTTTTTTTAAGTTCATCAAAAAAGCTATGCACTAAAATAATAATATTTGTTGTTTTGACAATAAATTCAACAAGTTCCAATTAG